TTACAGGGATCGTTGGAAGTAAGTATAGAGTTAATTAAACCATATTAGTTACCTGTATACTCTTTTGATAAAAATATGCTAAAGTTGTTAGTAAGTATTCGATTAAGATATCTTTGAAACGAAATTTGAGTATAACTTAGTATCTACATTTTTTAAATTCTCTAAGAAGTTATCAATAATCTTTATTTTGTTTTCTTCAGCCAAAGGCATTTTAAGTTTGAGAGAACTCCAAATGTATTAAGAACTTTAAATCAGATCATTTAATTAGTCATTGTGTTGACTGAATATTTTTTTTTCTGGTTTACTTAATAGAAAGTGAGAAGGTCCATCCTCTACCTTAATATCAGCCACATTTTCTGGTAAGCCTTTTTCGATAGCTTCCAAGAGGCTTTCAACAGTTATACCTATGTTTTCTGCCAATTTTAAGTAACTATCTGGTTTTTATTGAATATTTTGTTCAATTTACTAGAGAGTTTTTTAAGAATTTTTTAAGTTGTTTTCAAGAATCTTAATTGCATTCACTTTTTACTAGCATTAATAGGCAGACTAGATCAACTTTTTATTCAGCTTCTTCTAAAGTAATTTTTCTTCTTTCTCTATAAGAAGTTCGTGTTGCTTCTTCTTAAGTTGTTTTTTGCTCATATATTTCTTTATTTTGTGTATGTTTTTTGATTTTATTTATTATTTAAAATAGCTTTGATTAATTAAGCCTTTGAACAAGTATCTAACATCTTGTTGAACATTCATTAATTTAAATTGATAAGCTGATGCAATATTATATTACTATGACTAAATAACTAATTCAATATTCTAATATGTTTGTTTGTTTTATTGAACATTCATTCATTAATTTAAAGATAAACTGATATTATATTACTATGACTAAATAATAAATTCAATATTCTAATATGTTTGTTTCAAAAGCAAATCAAAATATAAAATTGCAGTTATTTTATTTAATCTAATCCAAATTAAGTAGCTTCTTACAAATGATTTTATTTTTCTTAGAAAAATTTTATTTGAGTTGTATTCAAATCAGAAAATTAGATATGGATGAAAAACTTTGAAGATAAAAGAAATATGTTTTATTGAAAGTTCTGAAATCTTTCAATGTAAATAAACAGAAAATTTAAAAAGAATTTAAATATATTATAAATAAAATGAAATATTCTAATATGTTTGTTTCAAAAGCAAATCAAAATATAAAATTGCAGCTTATTTTATTTAATCTAATCCAAAGTTATAATTTATTTTTCTCCTCTATTCTAAATCAAATTAATTCTGATTAAGTAGCTACTTACAAATGATTTTATTTTTATTAGAAAAATTTTATTTGAGTTGTATTCAAATCAGAATTAGATATGGATAAAAAACTTTGAAGATAAAAGAAATATGTTTTA